GATTAACATATTGATCTTTTCATAAAACGGCCAAGGAGAAAAATTTTACTTGATGTTGGAAGTGAGTCAAGCCGAAAAACTCAAAAGATTCCTCTTTCCGATTTCTCACGAGAACTTTGAAAAATTGATGTTAAAGCACAAAGTTTAGGTGGCGAAAACTAAAGCTCTCGCTTTCTGATAACTTCCGACAAGTTCTTCTCATTATGAGATCCTTGAGTACTTTTGTGCCTTTCGTATGGTCTGCTCACAAACTGCGCGGGTCGAGTCGCGATCTATATGCGTGACGTTTTCGATAGCATGAGTTCAATAGCTGTACTTCAGAATTGAGATTCAACAATTTTGCTAGCTTTTTAAAATGTCTGCAGCTCTTAACCTGTCCTTATAAGCTGAAGGCTAGCAAAAGTTTTTGAATTTACTTCCATTTTGGGTGAAGGGATGCTTCGTACACATCTGTCAAACCATTTCTGGTCCAAGATATTCTCGTTTTCGGTTCGCGCTGAAAATCAGGCAGTACTAAGAACTCGTCTCTGTCAGAATTTTTTTGCAAAAGAGAAAATCTGAGATAAAACTTTATCAAATAAATATATACAAACGAGATCTGAAATTAGCAACCACACAGATGTTAACTGAATACTAAATCACATTTACGCGTTTGACCTCAGGGTCAACTCATCAACAACTGCTTCATATCATAAAGAGCTTCTCGAATCGAATCTTTGTAAGCTGAGAGATTAGTTCGAGGGTTTGATTTGAACGCCGAAGGGGCAAGAATTATGAGATCCTTTTGGAGGTTGTATGCGCAACCGTATCCGTCACGAACGACAGCACCATAGCATAAGTAGCAGTCCGGGATGTCTGGCGATGTGGTCACCTATATTTTCCCTTATAGACCAAGAACTTATTTGAAGTTAAATTAAAACCTGGCTTGTGGAAAGGGGAAAACGCATAAGTTCACTCCACATCGGATCCGTAAAAAGTTTAGGTAATTGGCGAGATTCTCCACTTTCAAGAGATTGTCTGGCTATTACAGAAAGTGCGCATAAGTGGTTGTCTATCCCAAGGCCGGCAGTGTTCTGAACATTTTTCTTAGCAAAGATTACTGGGGAACTGAGAAAACAAATTTTCACCTCTAACGTCACATTTGCTTGTTTTTCAGCTGCCCTTCTCATCAAATCCAACTTTGTCTCCTGCAAAATCCTCATACAAACATTCGCGTTCTGATTTCCCTATGTGCCATACCTTTGAGGTGTCACTGGTCATCGCTTTGACCCATGCGAGAGCTTCCCTAGTGTTTGCTCGGATGTTATCCACGCGTCCTGCTCGGAATCGTCTCAGGGAAGCCGACTCATATGTTGAGACAAGGTAACCATGTAACCTAGAAAAACATTTTGTCGACTTATAAATTGTAAAGTTGAGTTTGAACTTACTTGAAATGAGCTAACTGAAGTGCAAGTTGAATAAATCCATCTGGACTAAACTTCATTGACTTAATGAAGTCCCTTCCGAAGTCCTTGAAGACCAACGGGTTCAGATCTAGCTCTCGCGATAATCTAAAAAATGTGTTGTTAAAGTGACACA